TTCAGTTACACCCTCTGGGCAGTAAAAACTGTCATCTAATATTGTGTCCTCATGCAGTCTTAACTACCACATACTCCCTATCAGCTTGAAAAATAGCAATTTATTTTGAGAAAAACGGATATGATGTTATTTAATAAAATGCATGATTGCATGAGGCACTCCCACTAAAAGTCAGAGTGATGTGTGTGGAGGAGATAGGAGGGGGAGAGAGACAACTATATAAACATGGGGACATGGCAGTAGGATTGTGGGTAGCCCTGTCAATCAACAAAACATCAGAAAACATTCTCAATGAAGTGGGGAAAAGTCTGTGGTTGCCTCTGAATAACACAGAGAAAATTATACATACTTCCGGCAACAACTCTCATAAACAAGTTCTTTGAATAACAATAAAGGTATTATGGAAAAATCCCACTTAAGGAGAGAACTTATACGTTCTGAAGTAGATCAAATCAAAGATCAGTGTGACAGAAAATAACAACTTATTCTTCTTCCACCTGTGAAACCAGTTATTTCAGTTCAACCTGCTTTATATCCACAGTTAACTGGCTTCATTGTGAAATTTGTGACACACTGAATGGGCCTGAGGGTAATAAAACAGGCATGTGTCAGGTGTGGATCAAGCTTTTAAGTTGTGGACAGTGGAGTAAGACTTGAACCTGTAAGGCTTGACTGTGATAGAAGGGGACAGGCAGTGTGGAGTCTGACTTGTCTCTATCCAGCAACACATACATGACACAGTGAGTAGATGGGCTCTGCATGCCATGTGTTCAACATAACACTGCAGAGCAGAGCACAGAAAAGAGCACCTCTAACACCTAGACAACAGTGAGGCAAATTCGTGACTAGGAGACTGGAATTAGCTCTGAATTAAGCATTACTTTGATGGGAAACTGATTGAGCGAAGCTTGGCAAAACATGAAAGAATGACCTTGAGTATCCCTCTCTCTCCCGCTCTCTCTTTCTCTCTCTCTCTCTCCTTTCTCTCTCTCTATCTCTCAGCCAGAGTTGAGAGAGCCACTTCAAAGTAAGGCAGATGCAGGGACAGCACCCTCTGAATACATTTTCTGGCCCCTAGTCGATCTGCCCTCAGGCTAAGATCGTGGCGGTTCGCATCTCTCCTGACCCCTCATCAGCTCCCAGTTAAAACGAATCCCTACCAACAAGGGAGACATGGAGAAAATGAGAGATAGAATGATATGATAGGAGTGGAGTGGATATTTAGAAGAGATAGAGATCTTATAATCAACTGTAAAAGTGCTATAATGGGTAAAACAGCATGCAATTTTCTTCAAGAATATACGTATTGACGAAGCACTACTGTATTAGTAATTAATTTGCTGTATACTCCCTTGAGTTTTCACTCCATCATATTAGTGCCATGTTGTAGTGTGCTGCTTTTGGTTCTTAGTCCTGTGTAGCTCAGTTGGTAGAGCATGGCGTTTACAACGCCAGGGTTGTGGGTCCGTTTCCCATGGGGGGCCAGTATGAAAAGAAGAAAAAAACATGTATGCACTCACTAACTGTAAGTCGCTCTGGATAAGAGCGTCTGCTAAATGACAAAAATGTTAAGTGTACAACAGAATGTTGTTCAGCAGTAGTACTCCATAGCTCAGTGACATTGATGCATGCATCAGAAGTGTTAGTGTGTTGGAGATTTTTGGTTAGCTAAGACCTAAAATATATGTCATTGTAATACATTTTCTAAGGTGATCATCTAATATTGGATTGAGTAAATTATTCTTAAGTGTTTGGTGTGTGAATTAAGGTAATTATGTATATTGGGACATACACACACCACTGGAAGGACTAATATGTAATGTGATGCAAGGTGCCCTTCAATGATTAGAAATTGAAATCCTTTAAAATAATTGTTTGAAACAAAAAAATATATAATTTGTCCAGTAAGTTTCCTCATGATAATGGACTAGTGTAAGATAATACATTCCTGAAAAGTTGAGTAAGCACCAACAATCGTGGGAGTAACTATTGTGGTTATGGTCAGGTTATCCATTTGGAAATACAATAGTGCAAGAGTTTTCTATGCATCATGAGGAAAAAGGTTGTGTACTATGTGCTGGCCATGCAGTAGGGTAGGAAGACACTGAGATGTAGGCCTTCGGGCAAAAATGCACCTGTGTGAGGAACTCTCAGCTGGGTCTATTGTTCATGATCCCCATACATGCAATTCATAGTGATATGGTATGCACCTGCAAAACACATACACAATCTCACACATACACAATGCTCGATCACACACACGCACGTGGACACACACACACAAACACACACACACAAGGGGGAGTGGGACTCTAATGAGGCCCTTGGAGACCCTGATGGATTGTCAATCAAACCTCTGCTTGTCGACACATGGTCGACAACTTCAATGAGATTTTTCTCAAACAGAGAGAAGCCTGTCAGATTGCATCAGAAAAGAAGGGAATCTGAAGTTTCAGTGAAAAAGATGAAGAGGGAGGTGTGAGAGAGGACATGAAGAAAGAAGAGTAAAGGCAAAAGGAAAAAGGGGTAGTGTAAAAAATATATAGTATTTTCTGTTGTGCCACTCCTCCAGAATAATATTGTAGATCTGTTTACTATGAATCATTCATTATGTGCATCAGATGAGGGAAAATTGCTTCTGACTTCAACTAAATGATCAGAGAGATCCCTTTCTGACAGTTGTTGTAATCATTGTATCATTTATACCAATCCTCACAGACACTTCACAATTTATGTTTTCAGTACAGATCAATAGATAGATTCCATGCAGGGAAAAAATGGCTTGAATATATAAAGTTTCACAATTGTACATTTGTTGTTATTGATTTAACAGAATTGATCAGCTGTGCATTTTCATGCAGTAGGCTACACCAGTATTTCATGCTGAGCCTAGAAAGATGCACAATTTCCAGGGCTGCATTTTTTGTCACAGAAAATGTAGGTTAGGTAAAGATTGCCTGTGGCAGATAGGTGCTATAACATTCATGCACAGTGACAGGTATCCCCCTAATAGCAATAATTTGAAAAAATGTATTCTTTGCCACATTCTCTGAACTGATCTGATCTACAAGTGACAGTGACAGCTATTCCTGATTCATAATAGATGATGATCGAAGGGGGGTGCGTTTTTATCTTGAATTACAATTAAAAAACATATTTATCTTGTATCTTTGCGAATATAGCACAACTCGTTGGAAATCTATAAGATTAGTAGAATCATTTCGGTAAACATTTATTGCTACTACTTATATTAGCTGCAGCGGGCATTATCCCTCTTCATTAGTCAACATCACAAAACACATGTAGATTTCTCTCAATGGTACCTCCAAAAGCCCTAACTCACTGCAGAGGGCATCAAGCAGCCATGGTTAGTGCTATGGCCAGGACAGTCCTGTCTAGGTGGGAGGGCTGGGGATCCAACCTCATATAGTGAGAGGATTTCATTACCAAGCCAAACCTAAAGCCCTGCTAACAGACCATGCTTATCCCCATGCTGCTGGGCCTTGCCTTTCCAAGTGCATTGTTCCAGGAACACACACCAACACACATTTAGCATGGCAGCGTGTAATTAAGACTCTTTTACTGAGCCTGTCATTACCACATGGCTGTAGACAGCATGGGTGCTGCTGCTGGGTTCACGGCTTGGACAGGAGACAGGGCTGCATGGGAACACACAAGGATGAGAAACAGTGCTGCTGCTTCTGGACACAGCAGCACAAAGAAAATAAATACACTGTTGTTGGAGGATTGGCTTTCTAAAGATTACTGTATAGGCTATTATAATAGGAGTTATCATACCCTCCTAGAGAAATTCCATAATATTTGGTCTGCTTGATAGAAACTCCAACTTCACTCTCTCAACCAGTCAGTGAAATTATGTCAGTAAGTGCCCCTAGAACAAACGTTTATTAATATTTATGTATTTATTTCATAGAATAATTAGCCTAATAAATAATATACAACTAAATGGATTGTAGGCATGTAACTAGGCCTACTATGCTGTCATTTTAAAGGTCTAAATTAAAGTAAAAGACATATGACATTGTCATAGATCTTGGAAAAATTGTTAGTCAAATAACCATTGATATCTTACTGATGTTGAAACAACAGTATACTATTTCAATATGAATGGTAACTTTGTCATGTATAATATGGTCAAACTGTTCCTTTAAGCATACCCCGTTTACATGGTAAATGAAGTGTCGTTTTTCTCCGCTAACTCCTCCTCTGCATTCTGAACAGGCTGCGCTTTTACTTCCACTTGAACGACCAAGTAGTTTTTGAGCGCATTCCCGGTTAGCTAATGTGGAGGGAAAGAGCTCGTTCGACCTACCCAAAAATATCTATTTTGCACCGGATATAATTTCAGTTCATGTTTTGAACATACTAAGGACAGTTATAAAAAGGTAAACTTCCTCGAACTAAATATAGTTTTGGTCGAAACTATTTCCTGAACGAGAGAGTGCCCTGAGAAAGCAAGCAATAGATGTGGTTAGATTTCCATGCTTATAATAAGACACATATTTTGTCTGTTGAATTGTAACTCACGTATGGATGGATATTAGGAGGTGAAATTGGACGTCAGCCTTGAATTTCAATTGGTTCGTCCCCAGTTTGTTTGCCTGTGTGCGTCTCAGGAAGAATAACTAAGTTGCATTCTTCAGCACCCATACAGAGGGAGAGTGGGCTACAAGTAACCGACTGGGAAGAGTGAAGAAGAAACTTTACAAAGTTGCTTTATCCTGCTATTGACGCCGAAATTAAAACAGTTGTATTTGGTGGATTATTGGAGTTCATCATCATGGAAAAGTGGGAGATAAAGTATATCAAAATGGAGATGTGAAAACGTGGCATTTGTTTTCACACTGTCAGTGTTGTTTATACTACTGCGAAAACTGGACTGATTTTTCTTCTTTGCAAATAGACTATTTATTTCGGATTGTTGGAGCGATTGCGCATTCTTGTCAACTTTATCAGGGAGACACTTTTTCATCAGCAAAATGCCACAACTTAACGGAGGCGGCGGCGATGATTTAGGGGCGAATGATGAAATGATATCATTCAAAGATGAAGGGGAGCAAGAGGAAAAAATATCAGAAAATGTATCAGCCGAGAGGGATTTGGATGATCTGAAGTCTTCTTTAGTAAACGAATCGGAAAACAACAGTAGCTCATCAGACTCCGAGGTAAGGAGGTTGCACTGAAGGCTGATCTACTGCAAAGCTTGTCTATATAGGCTATATACATCCCATTTCAAACAATATTTTTCTGGTATGAGCCTATTGCTGAAATAGACTAGCCTACTATAACATGTTTTTCCTTCTTGTTCTGTGTGTGCCTCTGTCCTTGTCAGCAAGCAGAGAGGCGCCCTCAACCAAGACCAGACTTGGACAGTTACGAGAAAACCAGGGATTACTTTAGTGAAGGTAAAAACGGTCACTTGCAATGCTGTTGCTTACTATATTTTTAATGCATTTCATATTACAGTGATGTCCCTTTTCTTTATTGACTTCCATGCTCTGTCCCTACAGCACTCAGAAGACAGCAAGATGGTGGCTTTTTCAAGAGTCCCCATTATCCTGGGTACCCGTTTTTCATGATCCCAGATCTTACCAACCCCTACCTATCCAATGGGGCCCTGTCCCCTAGCGCAAGAACGGTGAGTGGCCATAACAGAGTTCAGCAAAAGTTATTCTGCAGTGTTGCCACTAATCCGCATCCGCTGTCCGCTGAAGGCATGGGTAAAAGTTAGTTCTGCACAACCAGACCGCCATATTCCCTTAGAGTGGCCTCTCAAGGAGTAACTTGTTCTTTGTTCTTTGGGGATTTTCCCCCGTCAGCCTTCTGTAGGCTACTTACTGCCAATTTAGGTTCGATCTCCAATTCACATGAAGTCCATGATTAATCTAGGTGTTGATCTATTTATTTTGAGGCAGAAGTGTGTATATATATGGTATGATAAATATGAGCAGTTACGTCATTTTGTAAATGTTATTCTTCGACGGAAGCTGTGGCATTCGCCTGGTTAGCAACAATTTATTACATTTTAGTCATTTAGCAGACGCTCTTATCCAGAGCGACTTACAGTTTGTGCATTCATCTGAAGATAGCTAGGTGGGACAACCACATATCACAGGCATAGTAAGTACACTTTCCCTCAATAAAGTAGTTATCAGCAAAAGCTCATCAGACTCCAGTACTAAGTACATACTACATTGCGATCCATAAGTTTCAAGCCCATTCAATGTTCCCTAGAGCCCAAATTCAACAATATGCATGAAGCGAACCTTTGCAATAATTTATGGGTGCATGATACCTGTACTCTTAGACACTTGATGCACATGGCATCAGATGTTGCAGTCAAGAGACCTGATCAAAACATGATGCAGTAGGCCCCAGTAGTGTCCCATAACCTGTCTTGCTGAATGCCCTTATTTTCTTGAATTAACTGTCATGGCAGAAGCATGTCAGTATTAGTTTTAAACCAGTTATTTACACAAAGTCATAAGCCCATGATTTAGAAAGTGTCATTTCCCCCCAAAAAAGTATGCCTACTGTAATGACATTATTTCCTACAAAATCTATTTTCCATATACCACAATGTATAACAGGTTATGTGGCATATTATGGAAAAACAATGTGCACTAATCTAATACACTATTATGAGGCCTGCTTATTCAGGGAAATGTAAGAGAAAAAAGATGTACACACTTTAGATTTTTGTATGCATTTCATGTAGATAATGTTATCCATTGTATATAATTAACAATAAAACAAATATCCTTTCTGTGCATCATAATTATCAACTCAAAACAATGTGGATAGCATAAACTTCCTTGAAATACCACCTAATTAAATACTGTTGTTGTTAAGAGCATTTCCATCCCCCAATCCTTGTCTCAGCCCCAAAAGCGAGTGATTTGGATGGGACCAGCCAAGCATTTAACTGAAAAGCAATAACCCCCTTCCTTTATCAGTTTTTTTCTGTCTCCTTTTCACTGTTTCAAACCAACTCTCCCTGCCTCCCTGTACCTTCCATTCAATTAGGGAGGCGTTAGTTGACCATTGTTATTTTGAGCAGGCGCTTGATGGCTTCATTGGAGGTCTCCATTTGGGCTCATTAACTAAATGGCTACTCTCTGGACCACTGTGGAGATCCTCTTTTGTTCCTCAAGTCATGACAGTTTTTATCTGTAGGAATAGTCAAAAGGAAATACTAGTTTAAGTAGAAGGCCTGTGTTTTCTCTTGTTTATACTTTTCACTCTCATATGATCCATTGACAGTTTCTGGATGCATTCAGATTTTTGCCTTAATTTCGGGTCCTTCGATGTAAGATTTGAATTATTATTATAATTTTTGTGGTTCCTATCCGGAATTTGGCAATGAGATGAAAAGTTGTTTAAATTAAGACCATTTTGATTAAATCATTTTGTATGATCCATCTTTTTGCAAGCAATCCATGCACCTCTCTCACATCACAATAATATTAATTGTATGGACAAATATACAATATTTCCCCTCTTGCCGCTTCCTTCTGGAGGTTTTTCCTCCCTTTCTCCTCCGTTCCTCATTTTTTGGTGTGCAAGTTTACCAAAATGTTAAACATATCCAAGGTCAGTGCCATAAAGTTTTTTCTGTAGTTTTTTTTTTTTTTACAAATGTGTCAGACCACATTTACTAATGTTATTTACAATGAAAACCAATTCCAGATTTATTATTTTTTGAAATCACTTAGTATTTTAGCAGAAATATCCTATTTATTATGTTGAGTGAGGGAAATAATAACATTTTGGTAAACCCTGTGTTGACCTCATGTTGTTCCTCCATGACCCCTCACAAAGCATGCTGGGACCCAGAGCTCTACCTCCCACCATGGTTTAGATTTTGTTCAGAAAAAAACTCTCCTAAACAAAAAGTGAGTTAGGAGGGCTGTCGGTTTTCTTTCTCAATTTCATTTGCTTTAGGGAGAGATCCACATTCCCCCTAAGCTTACTAATGCTGGAGCTACAGTGAGCTCCAAAAGGATTGGGACAGTGACACATTTTTTGTTGTTTTGGCTCTGTACTCCAGCACTTTGGATTTGAAATGATACTATGACTATGGGGTTAAAGTGCAGACTGTCAGCTTTAATTTGAGGGTATTTTCATCATATCGGATGAACCGTAAAACAATTACAATTTTCTTGCACATAGTGCCCACATTTTAGGGGACCAAAAGTAGTGGGGAAAAATTATGTGTATTAAAGTAGTCAAAAGTTTAGTATTTGGTCCCATATTCCTAGCACACAATGATTACATCAAGCTTGTGACTCTACAAACTTGTTGGATGCATTTGCTGATTGTTTTGGTTGTGTTTCAGATTATTTTGTGCCAAATAGAAATGAATGGTAAATAATGTATTGTGTCATTTTGGAGTCACTTGTATTGTAAATAAGAATATCATATGGTTCTAAACACTTCTACATAAATGTGGATGCAACTATGATTGTGGATAGTCCTGAATGAATCAAAAGTAATGATGAGTGAGAAAGTTACAGACAAATATTATACCCCCAAGAAATGCTAATTGTGGTCCTCTGTAGCTCAGCTGGTAGAGCACGGCGCTTGTAACGCCAAGGTAGTGGGTTCGATCCCCGGGACCACCCATACACACACAAAAAAAATGCCCGTGTGACTGTAAGTCGCTTTGGATAAAAGCGTCTGCTAAATGGCTTATTATTATTATTATTATTATTATTATTATTATTCTCACCATTACAATAACAGGGGAGGTTAGCATTTTTGGGGTGATATGATATTTGTGTGTCTGTAGCATCCACATGAATGTAGAAGTGTTTAGAAACATATTCAATTCTTATTTACAATAAAAGTTACTCCAAAAAGACACAATTCAATATTAACCATTAATTTCTATTGGGCACTAAATAATATGAAACACAACCAAAACAAACAGCAAATGTATCCAACAAGTTTTTAGTCACAAGCCTGATGTAATTATTGCGTGCTAGGAATATGGGACCAGATACTAAACTTTTGAATACTTTACACATACTGTATAAGTGAATTTGTCCCAATACTTTTGATCCCCTAAAATGGGGGCACTATGTACAACAAGTGCTGTAATTTGTAAACGGTTAACCCGATTTGGATGAAAATACCCTCAAATTAAAGATGACAGTCTGCACTTTAACCCCATAGTCATTGTATCATTTCAAATCCAAAGTGTTGGAGTACAGAGCCAAAACAACAACAAATGTGTCACTGTCCCAAAACTTTTGGAGCTCAATGTATATCCCCTAAATTATATGGGGAGGATAGAATCAGGTTAATGGGCCATATTGAGTCCACTCTGTCAAAGAGCACCACCATGGTAGAGAAACCACAGTGAGACAATGGCTGTCTGGAATACTCTGGATATTTACTGAACAAGTAGTCCTAAGCTGTTACTGCACATTTACTGGTATTGCCATATTGAGCTGAATAAAACTCTTTATAATTTTATAATATTTTTAGCCTAAATTTATAATATTTTTAGCCTACAATTATCGTTTTTTAAATTGGTATGCCGAGTTGGATACAGCTGGATTTAATGGAGAATACTTGGTCGTTGGTCTCTGCTCAAACATTGAGTTTACAAGTTTGTTAAACTAATGAGTTCCACTGTAACATTTGCTCTGTACATTTGCTCTGTACATACCTGCAAGGTTTCCTAATTGGTTCGTTAGCTGGAGAGTGTGACTGAGCTCTCTATACAGGCTCATACAAGAAACTTTGTCTTATTGACATTGACAGCATTGCTCCAGATTGGTCCTCTCCTATGTATATAAATGAAGGGTATAAAAGTTAAGCCTCTCAAACAGAATGCCTAATTGCCCTCAAGCTGCAGATTTCAAGTTTTAATTCCAAAGGGGGAATGCTGTTTCATACAGTAGTTTGGTGTTGGAAATATTTAGTTATTCAGCTCTGAACAGGTAGCATATATGTTTTGAACTTGTTAGTATTTTTTTTCTGCGCAAAAACGGCGCAATGGATTTGACCTGCAGTGTCTGTTTAAAATAAAAAATGTAAATACCAGGCAAAATAAGAAAACAAAGTTCAGGATACCTGTGCGATCAGAAAAAGGAATGTAAACACAAACATTGGAGCAGTAGGGGTGTATCAACAACACTGCCTTGCCAATTTTTCATACCTCTTACTTTTACGTGAGACTGTTAGGGAAGTCTTACTTTTTCTCCTCAAGGTACATTCTCTCTCTCTCGAACAATGCTGTCAACAACTCCCCCTTCTGGCCTCCCAGTAACTGGATAAAATAATTGCAAACAATGTGATAGAATTAATTTAGAAATAAATATTTAAGTAATTTAGAGAGTATGGCAATAGATGGGTATTTTCAATCAATTTATATGCCATGTTTTTAGAAGTAATGTAATATCCAGACGAAGAGAGCAGTAACAGCTGAAAAAGCATTATTCTTAGGCTTTTCTCAAGAGATCAGCATGCTTTCTGTAGAATACACCTTGTTTTTACACCAGAATCCAGTGTTTCTGGTTTAATCTAGTACGGTATGTCAATTGTTTTGAGGCACAACTTGAGAATGTGCATATGACAACCCTATCATGAGCAATGTAAGACACTTTGGCTCAGCACAACACAAATCTCTAGAGGGTGAAGCATAACTGATTTAGTGGCTGTTCTGAGCTGAAATTCCACTGTAATCCGCTGAGAGTTCAGGAGGAACTTTGCTTT